GCAACAGTCTGGACAATGATGACTCAGACAGTCACTTGTCCTGAGCATCGTTTCTCCTAGCAGTTTCCGACAGTTTCTCCTAGCAGTTTCCTAAGTTGAATTTAAAAACTAAGCTTGGCATCACTGTCTTCAATGATTGGTGAGGCCTGGTGTCACTGCTCAAGCTCCAGAACATCCCCTCTGAAACCGCTGAGTCTGTCCTGGCATCTCCCGACAACATGGCAACACTGAAGAGCTGTCAAGAGGACGCCATTGGTGTGTCAAGTAGGTGTTTTGCAGTTGGACACTGACTGACTTGAATTGTTGCGACACTGACTTGAGTTTCGTGTGCAGGATGCAAGGAGGCTCATTGCAAGCAGTGTGAAATGTGTCAATGGCAACCAGTCTTTGGCCTCGCTGGCAGAAACCTTGAGTGAATGCCAGTTCTTCAAGGTGCGCGGGGACCAGACCACCTCAGTTCTCTTCATCTATGAGGTGGCTTGCTCTGGTGAAAACTACAACAGGAAGAGGCAATGAGGGTCATTCAACTTGTCAGCTCATGTTGCTTAAAGGTTCTGAAGACATTGACATTGAATTTGTATTTGCATTGATTTGAATTTGTCATTGTCATTATTATCAGAGTGTCTGTTGGTCAACATCATTGTAGTAGGCCATTTATGCATTGTCCGCGGTAATTTGTGCCATCATATACGCCTGCTGCCAGTCCAGTGCCCTTCCGCAAAGAGCATTTGCACAATGTGGTGAAGGCTTGCCTGAGCACCCGTGCTGAGCCTGGGGAGGCAATTGACTGGGAAGCTGATGTGTTGCAGCTTCCCAACATGCATGATTCTGATGTGCGCCCTGGCATTCTGTTGACAGTGTGACAGGGTGTCATGGTCAAACCGCTACCCTCATTCATTGAATTGTCATTGAAATTGAATCCTCAGGCTCCTCTTTAATCTTGACCATGTGTCCCTCATTCATTGTCATTGAAATTGAATTTCTTGAGTCAGGTTTTCTATTTATTGACATTGTTACACCACTACCTTCATTCAATGTCATTCAATGTCACTGCCCTCATTTCTCAGGTTCCTCTTTTTGGATGGAGGCAGAGACGGGCTCCAGAATCAATTCTGGAGTAGCTTCGCAAATGTGGCAAAGCCTTGCCAGAAGCGGTTTCACATAGTGTATGAAGACGCCAGTGTAAAGAAGCAGAAGGAATTTCGATCAGTCACTGCCACGTCGCAAGACCGTGGATGCTTGAACTTGGGCCAACTTGAAACGGTTTGTGTGGCCTCTGGCAAGAATCTCAACACGATAGTCGGAAACCGACAAAACAAGTCACATGTTGGATCCACGGCCTCAAACTGCCTTCAGAATGTGAGCAAACCGGATCTTTCAAAGCTCACCCAGTTGGACCCAACTGTGAAGGCGACATACTTGGGCGATTCTTTAGTCAAGGACCCCAGGTCAAAGGCAGAGTCTGGGGGGCGCCGCTGTCCCTGAGCCTTTCAGCCTTGAAGTGATGTCGAAAGATTTAGTGTGACTTTGGATTATTAACAAAGAAGTTTTATATTTTAGTTTTAGTCAGCTAGTCCAATCCTGCAATTCATTGTCAACCTATGAATATTTTTTAGTCCAATCCTGCTAATCAAGTGTCAACCAAGTCCTTCAAGTCCTTGTTAAAACATGACAATGCTTGATGCGTTGCGTTGGTTTCATCCCACATGACAATCGTGTGTTGATGTCACTGTCATTCCAGGAAGGAACTGCTTCATCGGTTTAGACCAAAGCTCGTTGTCTTCCAGACTGGCACGGACCCAACTATCCTCCAGCCGCTCTTCAGCGCGAGCATTCCAGCCGTTGTGTGTTGCTGCTCCCCTGAGCATATGAAGTGGTATCAGGTTGCTGCTGAAGCCATTGCTGTAAAGTCCTTCTTGGATTGTCAGTCCAAAACCTTCAAAGCAGATGTTGCCAAAATCCTCAAGGCTGATGCAGGTGATGAGGCTGAGGATGATATGACTGGGAAGCCACTTGAATTTAACCTTTATTAAAGTCACTGGTTTTACTGCTGTTGTCTTTATATTTGTGGTTGGTGACAATGATTGACAATGATGGTTTGATTGATTGTCTCATTGAATTAACTAAGGAATGTTCCTGAGCGTGGCCGTGGTGGCCGTGGACGTGGCGGCCGTGGACGTGGTGGCCGTGGACGTCCAAGAGGTCGCGGGCGAGGTGGCCCGAAGCCGCAGCCTAAGGGCGATGAGGGCGGTAAGGAGAGTGATGATGCTGCGGAAGAGGATGATGATGATGTGGAAACTGCTGACGAGGAGGATGACTCTGAGTAGAAGCATCTTGCAGTGTGAGTAGAATTTTGATTTGGCCTTTAATAAAGGTTTGACACTCCGGGCCTTCATCGTGCTTCACTGTGGCCAGGATGTGAAAAATGTTAAACTGTTTTAAGTATCATTGTCATCAGTGTCATTGCCACCTTCATCATTGCCACCTTCAACAGTTTCTTCAACTGGCTGCCACCCACTGTTCCCATTGTCAGTTAAACTTGATGTGTGCCAACTGTCAGCCTTGCTCAAGCGCGGTCATCACTGTCAGCCATGTCCGGTGGATGTTCTCAAGATGCCTACTGGCCAAATTTTACTTTCAAAGAGGAAGACCTTGAGGATGACAAGATAGAGGATGAGGCAGGAAGTGATCCTGATTCCCAGGATCTGGATGACAAGGACAACAAAAAAGGAGGAAGCTGATGGACTTGAGGGTGGCAAGACTAAGAAGAAGTGTGGGAAAGTCATCAAAAGGCCGTCATCAACTATGCTGCCGGTGCCAACCATCGCTCCAAAAGGCCGCAGTGCTCCAAAAGCAAAGCAACGGCCTGTGTCATCGGTGGCCAAGGACAAATTAACGGGTTGCAGCAAGTGCCGCTACAGCAAGAATGGTTGCGGTCGATGCCGTCGCAGCTGACTTCCAATGACATTGGACATACCGGCATAGCTGAGTCTCAAAAAGAGCGGAGCAGTTGCTAATGACTTTGTCGAGTCTAATCAAGAACGACCATCGTCTGTGTGCCATAAAACATGCACAGGGTTGAGTGTGATTGTCTTATGTCCAGTTGCACCTGTTCATTGTACTGCATCTGGTTGTATGTCCCCGCTTTGGCCGAGGCCTGCCAACAGCCTTTGCAACAGACCTTGGCACTCTATTAGTGTGATGAGTTGCTGATGATTGCATGTTGCCAAATATTTGATGTCAATGATGCAAAAGTCCGGAAAAGTCCGGAAAGTTTGTGTATAGTTGTTTGCTGTCAAAAGTCTGTCACTTGTAGCTCGCAAAAGGATGAGAGTCAGCTGTTTGCAGTCACTTGCGTTGTAGTTGACATTGTTTGAAGGAATCAAGCCATTTAGTAAACATGGTTGCAGTCAGTTATTGTCAGTGTTCACGTCAGAGAGCACTTAGGCTTAGGTGTTGGGTCATAAACTTGAAGGATGTCATTGACAGGCCCAAGTCATTGTTGAGTCATTTGTCATTGTCATTGTGGCAGTCATTGTCCAGGCCCAAGTCTTGTGTTCAGCGCCTAGTTACCTAGTTTGCCATGACATCCCGCGGAGCCCAGATCTCGGCAGTGGCCCACGCAGAGAAGGCAAAGCAGGTTTGGCAAGCCTGTGATGGAATCTTCGACAAGCTCCTTGAAATGGCGCCAACACAGGCCAAGGTCGAGGGGATCGCCATGGTCTACCACTACGATGGTCAGTCTAACTGGCACAACCTCTTCCACGACAACCGAGATAGACTCAGGGTGCTGTCGGTGCCAGAACTCGGGAACGCAAACTTTGGGAACCTCCTACGCTTGGTGTGCCCATCATACGTTGTCAACGAACCATGGTGTCAAGTTTCAAGTCATTGAATTGTTGTCATTGTCATTCATGTGATTGTCACCTGATTTTTTACTTTTGTTTCTGTTTTCTTTTGTTTCGGACTTTGCCTTGCTTCTCATCTGAGGCCAAGATGACCAACGATGAAACCCTTGGATGCAGAATGGAGGGTTTGCTGGCCTACCTGGCATTGAGCAACAACCATGAGTGCCACACCGCTGAAGTGAGTGATTGGCTGGACAATTGTTTGCAACTGGCCCGCCTGTTCAATAAGTGGGCCCTTTTAGTAAATTTGACTGAGAAAGTCTATCACTTTGAGGATATCGAAGCAATTTCAGCTCGATACTCTTTTAGGGTAGGGCTGCCGGCACTGCCCGCACCTTAATGGGCCAAGCGCCTTAGTAGGCCTTAGTAGGCAAAGGGCTGTCAGTGTCTTTCATTGTTGAACAGTGTCACAGTTCACTGAGTAGAGAAAACCTAACCACTTGAGACTGTTGTTTGGAAGGATTATGGGTTGCTGGGTGTTTGTTGCCGGAATTTGCCCTTTGCCTAGGCTCAGCCTTTTGGTACTCAAGTCACCTGACCGAACACATACATGACAATGATGCATGACAATGATGCATGACAATGATGACAAAGAGGAGTGACTTGAGTACCAAGTGGAATAGACAGACATAGTGATCTGTGGAGTGCTCTGTCCACTGAGAAAAAAGAGCAATTTGGTTTTCGTGACAATGACAGTCTAAGACAATGATGTAATTAAACCACCGGAGCTCCCAAACCTTTCACTTTAAGTTTTAAAAAAATTATATCTTTCCGGACTTTTCTGGATTTTTTAAGTGTCATTGACCACAAAAAGACTATATACACAAACTTTCAAAAGCAACTTTTGCAACTTGCAAACAGCCACCCAGTAATTTGTTCTTTGATACTCCGGCAAAGGGGTACACTTGACGAAATAGCCACCTGTTGGGTATTCGGAAGATGCTCATCCAAGGGACCATGGCATCCACTTCCATTTCATTCCGGCCTGTTGAACGGACCGCATGTTGGAGAATTTGGGCGGTGATGGGACCCTCGTGCGTCTCCATTCTTCAAACCTCGTGGAATGGAGACCAGGTCGCTCTCAGTCGCCAGGCTGGCCTCCAAGAGGGCGCTCGAGAGGCGTTGCGGGAAGGTTTGCAGATGGCCATCGATGGGCGCCTCCAAGCACCATGGCAGACAGCATGCGCAGCGGGGATTGGGTGGAAGGAAGATTCCCCGCTTTGAGTGATGTGGAGAGACCAGTAAAAACATATACATATATATACGTATTTATTCCATGTGTCTGTGTCTGTGTCTTTAAGGGTTCTGGCATTTTCCACTACTACACCACGGTGCATGGCAGCGAAAGTCCCAAAGATAAACATAACTCTGTCCACTGGCAGCTTTGATTGAGCAGCGGTTTTTGGCTCTTGCGGTGATTGATGGACTTCCTTGGTCATAGATTCATAGATCACCTGACACACACTGAAGATGCAAATTTGGACAGAGGAGCTCAAAGTTTCTTCCCGCCCTGCCGACGTGCTGTGGAAAACCGTCATGGATGTTGGGGTGCATGCCGTTTGACAACTAGTAACAAGTGCATCGTTACTAGTAACAAGAAGCTACTAGGGGCTCCTGGCATCGCTACTAGGAGCAAGCACGCTCTTAGGTGCTCCTGGCCGTACTACCAGTAACAAGTGCATTAGCTCCTAGTAACTGATTTTGTCCCAAGCGGGAGCATTGCGGTGTTCCTTCATGTGAAGATTGGTGAGACAAACCTGTGTGTAGTTTGACGACGGTTGGCCCAATAGACTTCAGTAGACATGTTCTCAAGCGCCAGGTCTTGTTTGGATATGTTTGGTTCGTGTTGGTTCCAGAGTTCTTCAAAGAGTTCTTTCGGCTACCGATTGGTTACATCTGGCGGTTCCTCTTGTTTGTTCGGTTTGGACACTTCACCCACATCACATCACTGTCACCCAAAACTTCTTCCCAGGCGAACCGCAGCTGGGCCGAGCTGAGAGCGGCCCTCCGCAACGACGAACGTCGCTGGGTTTGGTTCGGGCGAGTTCACGTGCGAGTCCGATGCAACAGGGGTTCGGAAAGTCAGAGGGTCGTCTCATGTTTCTCATGTTGGAGATAAACACAGAGATTCTTCAGGATGGACCTATCCAGTTCAATCATGTTGTTCCATGTCCTGCCCATTTGCATTGGCTCTTGCTGTGAACGGTTTGAAACGGCCTCCTATCCTCATGTTCTTCCGTCCAACTCCGAGGACGTTTTTTGTTTTTAAGCCTAAAGAGGGATGAACAAACTCAAAGAGATTCAGTGTATGCCCACTAAAATACGCGTCTTGAATCAGGAAACATACACAGAATGCCAGGTTGGATGAAGATCTTGGTCTAGAGTCTACTAGTAGTGACCTTCGGTTTCGCAGCCAACTCGCCGGTGTAGGACGGGCTTCGCAAGACGAGACTGTTAGCCGCTGAGTTCATTGAAGAAGTCTTTGCAGTTCATGGTCAAATAATGTGACAGCGATTGAACGTTACTTGATTGAAAAGCACCTGAAGAGCAACATGAAAGACATTGAAAGACCAAAGGCTGGTTCTTTATCCTCTGGCTTTTGGAGGTGCCAAGTAATCTTGGGAGGTGTACCTGTCAGAGTACCGTAAAAGCAGCTTGTCACAACCTGTTGCATAACGCCCGACAAAATACAATCTTTGGTGAGAGCTCATGGTTCAGTGAGATCCCCTCGCACCATCCCGAAATCATCTACGGCCAAAACATAAATCGTAGCATGCATCTCGTCTTTCGCCTATGTACTCGAGCCTGCATTCATCCCAGATCTGGCGCGGGTGCGGGATATGAAGATGGCAGCAGAGACAGGACTGAAGATGATCGAGACGGATGCGGTGGCCTGACTTGGAATTGAGGCCAAGGAGGAAGGACGCTCTGTTGGAATGTGCCCTTTGAAATTCCTTTGGGTGGTGGGTCGAAGGACTCAAAGGATATCCATAGTACTAACCGATTACAGTTTGTTTTTTTGTCTTTTTCCTGATCCACTTGGATGTTTATACTGGCGGATCCATGACCCGAATCACTTCACGGAAAACCTGATCTCATCTCAGGTCGGTACTGGGTAGACTTATAACCCACCAGTGGTTACCTATACACACACCAAGGAGAAGCGAAGATTTGCTATTTGTGTGTGTGTCAGCATCCCACCATTGCTATGAACCATTGTCACCATCCCACCATTGCTACATATTGCTACCTTCAAACAATGTGGTTCAGTGTTTATAGAGATACTGGTGTTGACCCACTTTGACGTGGGATGGTGTTTGGGGAGCCTGTCATCCATCCCAAAGTCGTAGCCTGACCTTTGTGTCAACTTTGTGGTATTTGGGTGTTAAGAGGTGCCCGGGGGCCTCAGTGTCCAACCAGCACCTCTTCAAATTCCTGAGGTCAAGTCGCTTTCCCCCCAACCACAGACAAGTCTTGAACAAGCATCCTTGATGTCTCGAAGATTGCCCACAAAAGCTCCGTAGCGGTCCTTGCTCCTAGTAGCGATGCCAGGAGCCCCTAGTAGCTTCTTGTTTCTAGCAGCGATGCCCTTTGCCCAATGACGTGTGATGTGTCGGAGCTCGAGACCCTCCAGCCCACAGCCGACTCCACTTCCATGCCTTTGCGCGGTCGGCTTGTAGAAGCGGTCTTGACGCAGCCTCTTCAGAACTCCTGACTGAAATCCCAAAGGCCTGTTTGGCAAACCTCTACAAAGAAGCATGTATTATAAAACATTTTGGAATTGAGCCAAGAGTCGTGACAGGGTATAGGACCAGGATCCGGTAAAGGATATTGAACGTGTGATAAAGGATAAAGGTGTTAGTTACCCCAGAGCCTCTGAGGCTCGGATGAGCGACCGGGGTGCCGCTCGCATCAGGCTCCGAGTGGGGCTTTGGGAGGGTCGGGTTTCGATCGCCAGAGCTGGTAGGAGTGGTCGATGGAACCACTGCCATACATGGACATGTTTCCAGCAACTCTACATGAGGAGATTCGCAGTGCAAATAGCACCAAATAGCTACATTTAACAACAAGCTACAGTTGACAAATAAAGGATAGCATCAAATAGTCACGTTTGACACACAGAAGATAGAAAAGTAACCCGCCCCGGTGTAGCCCCCATAAGACTTTCTTCAACCAAGTGTGGCCACAGCCAAAGTACCGAGTGCATGGATGTTTCTCAAGAGCAAAAACTTGGTGAAGATCTCTCAAAAACAAGTCAGGCATTGGAGACACATGGCAAACATGCAAAAGAGCAACTGCGTTCCAACCAGCTTCGGTGGACCAGTTGGGGATTAGAGCCTCACTTCAAGTCGACTGCTGAAGGGGCTTCTTTCAGCACCCAGCTCCCAGTTCGGGCCAAAGAACCCCGACGGAGAGGCGCTTGGAGGTCTTCGAGGTGGAGCGCTTCACCTTGGGCTTCGGATGGGGCGAGGGGGCTCAGAGTGGCATTCCGGGACCGCCCCGTTGTGATCCGTTGTGCGTTCTGGTCGTGGGAGATGACAGAAATGGGAAGAGAGCTAGCATGAGCTAGCTGTTGGGTCATCTCAAGATCTACACAAGGTATCCTGTTTACAGAGTCCATGCGGATTTATCTTGCACAATCAATTTCTTCTGCTGCAGTTTTGTTGTGGCGTTCTGGCTGGATCTCATCCCCCGTTGGTCACCGATCCATAGAACCCCAATGAGTAAATCATAGTACTGTAAATCGCTTGAAACGGTGTCCAAGGCATGTTCAAAGCGGCTTCACTTTTCTATCCAACGGGGGTAGCGTGGAAAAAAGAAGGTGGTTGCACCGTTTGCTGTGTGGCTGTTTTTCTTTTTAAGACCAAACCATGTGGCAGGTAGCATATTTACATGCCGAAGTTGTTGTTCTATGGAACTTCACAATTGAATTCTTGGTTCAAAAGAAATGTCTCATGATGAGAGAGGTGTGTTTGCTTCAATTTTGATCGGTGGAATCGCTTGTTTCCAGTCTTTTCAAGTCTTCATCCGCTCTAGCTTTCCATGACTTCCACACAATGGCAGATTTGCAGGCACCTGCAATTGGCCGACAGATGGAGAGCTTCAGTGGCGTTGGGTGCAGGAGAACGGCAGGAAGCATCCACAGGCCAGTTCCGGGGTCACTCAGGTGACAAGCCCACCCACTGTTCAGAGAGACTTGTGGGCACTTGTACTGATGTCAGCGGGCAAGGTACTCAGTTTTGCTCACATAAAGCGAGTCCAACCGCCATGAGCCACGATGGATTTACTTGCTTCTCATGGCCTTTCAATCATGGCCTTGTCTTGTAGACCAGCCAAAGTCTTTGAATCTGCTGGCACTTTGAGAACTGTCACAGGTGATTGAAGTCGCCAGTCGTCTAAGACTTTGAGCCATTTGTTTTCTCCCACTTGGGCTTAATTTTTTCTAAACATGCTATCCACCAAACTGTGTTAAGTAGAACAAAACAAGGGGAAACAAGCGAACTTCCGCACTCTGGAGCGCACATGCACACACTTATGATTATGCGTACTGACTTGACAGCGGTGCCACACGCCAGCCTAAGGAACCAAATCCTGAAAAACCAGGTGAGGGGGACTGCGCGCCTTTAGTTAAAGGCCAGAAGTCAAACTCCACGATGCGACAAGCCGACAGGATGACGACGTACGCTCTTGTCTGCCGAGTGCATTAGCCCATTACGGAAACTTAAAAATTGTTGCAGGTACGTCCAGCTGGCCAAGCTGGATATCCCATTTCACTGGTAGCTTCGTTGGACACAGTCCCAGTGAAATGCTGTGTCCCCATGCTATCAACGGCAGTACATTCCAAAAAGGATCCCTGTGACTTCAAGGGTCACACACACACACGCCTCCCCGAGGGGAGTAGTAGCGCCCTTGCACCTAGTAGTAAGGCCAGGAGCCCCTAGTAGCGTCCCACTCTAAGGTCCCGACAGGAGGGAGGGGTAGGGAGAGAAGAGAAGAAAGAAAAAGAAGAAAGGAAGGAAAAGAAGGTGTTCCCAGCTACGACACAAGCGTCCAAGGACACACCAAGAGAAGAAGAGAAGGGTTCCCAGCTATGACGAAAGCATCCAGGGACACCCCCCAAAAAAAGAAGGAAGAGGGAGAAAGGAAAAAGAAAAAGAGAGAAAGAGAAAAATAGAGAGAGAGAGGGAGAGAGAGAGAGAGAGAGACAGAGAAAGAGGGAACGAAAACAGGTGCTCCCAGCTACGCGCAAGCGTCCAGGGACACACCAAGGAGAGGGGTATACCTGAGTGTTACATTCAGGAATACCCCAAAAAAGGCGAAGAGAGAGGAAGGGGAGGGGAGGGGGAGGAAGGGGACTAAGGTCCCGACAGGTTCCAACGAACCTCAAAAAAGCTTTGGTCGCTCTGACCACGTTGAGGCACTAAGCCAGCTTGGACCGCTGCGGTCACGTAAGGGCATGAGCCAGCTTGGAATTCAAGAATTCGACAGAAATCTGAATTCTCTCGGCCCAGGCCAGGCCACCTTCGCCCGCTCTGGGCACGTACATCTCCGGGCAACACCCGTTCGACGGGTCCACAGGGGCCACTCTTCGGGGTCACCCTGGGCTCTCACTAGGAGAGGCACACTTATGATTATGCGTACTGACTTGACAGCGGTGCCACACGCCAGCCTAAGGAACCAAATCCTGAAAAACCAGGTGAGGGGGACTGCGCGCCTTTAGTTAAAGGCCAGAAGTCAAACTCCACGATGCGACAAGCCGACAGGATGACGACGTACGCTCTTGTCTGCCGAGTGCATTAGCCCATTACGGAAACTTAAAAATTGTTGCAGGTACGTCCAGCTGGCCAAGCTGGATATCCCATTTCACTGGTAGCTTCGTTGGACACAGTCCCAGTGAAATGCTGTGTCCCCATGCTATCAACGGCAGTACATTCCAAAAAGGATCCCTGTGACTTCAAGGGTCACACACACATGAGTCGCACTTTTGTGAAAACCACACATGAGAGCACACATGTGACAGCGTCCTGTTGTGGTTTCAGCAGCGTCCGGTTAGACTAGTCAGTGCAGGGAATAGACAGTTTGCATACGTTGCTTTTAAACTGTCCAGTGCAAGTTGTGCGTTGGTTTGGGGCATCAACAAACAAATAAAAACAATGAATAAAAATGTATCAAAACAAACACATCAGCAAAAAAATTGAAAGAAACGAAGAAAGGAAGGAAGGAAGGAGGGAAGGTACATGCGCGCTTTCTTCCCAGTGACCGACCGACAAATGAGAGAGCCAGAGCCTGACCATTGTGGTTTCCACTGTGAAATTGAAATGCGATGGTGCAACGCTTTGCTCAGATGCCCAGCGCAGAGACCATTGCAGCTATCAAAGGAAGATTCATTGAGGAAACTCCATGATAATTGTTTTTTGCCGTACCAAGTTACATTGCGGGAAGCAATGCGCCCTCCCCCGCGCCCCCTCCCGCTTTTAATTTTCGAGCGTAGAAACAGTTTCGGGTATAGCTTTCTAGACTAGCAATTCCATTTTGCGACTTAGCTATATTGGTTCTATTTTTCACTTATATATTTTTATTTCATGTCTTTTCTTCTCATTTTAAATTCATTTTCATGTCCACTTCACTTCATTTCATTCATTTCATTTCAATTTCAGAACACGACGTTGTGGAGGAGTCTGTTTTCCCAGTGCTCTAGTCTTCTTACGAATTTACTATCTATGCGCTGGAGGTATTCTTATTTAAGGATAAAATGTAGGAGGATACTGTCACATCACGCGCCACATCACAGTAGCAGACATCGCATAGACATCGCAATGTCGCCAGCGTCGCGGACCTGGACCGCACAGAGTTTCCCAGAGGGGGGGGGTCGACAAAAAGAAATGTGGCCTTGATTTGAGGCAGCACAAATTATTTCTATTTTTATTTTTTGTCGACCCCCCCCCCCGAAACGGAGAGCATACTGAAGAATCAGAAAGGAAAATGCGCAAGGAAATGGAATAGGACAATCCTGATGAGACCTCATGTGTTGAAGGGGATTTATGCTGAAAGGTCCAAATGGGAGACAGAGATTCTGAAGCATCAGCAAAGCACAACAGCAGATGAGAGAACGCAAAGAAGTGGATTGAGCAAAGGGAAGAAAGCATCAGGTGGGAACCACATGAGAGTCAGGGCATCAGGTGGGGGTGCCAAGCAACAATTCCCCCACTTGGTTGGTGAGGTTAAGACATGGTTGGAAAGGGAAAGGAGTTACGGGCATGGGGTGCAGAAGATGGATCTTGTATGGAAAAATTTTCAGCTGCTGTCAGTGGAGAAAGTCAAGCTTGAGGAGAAAAGGGATGAGCTGGAAGATGGGCCCCAGAAGATTCTTTGTATCAATCAATTGGAAAGGGCTGAATCTCAAATGAAGAGCGTCAAAGAGGGTATAAGCAAAGGGAAAAGAGTGCCAAGATGCTTCTGGATGCTATTGGTGCCAAACATATGACTCCAAATGCGTTGGCGCCCTTGAGCAATGAGGAGCAGCAGATTTCAGCAGAATTGGCATGGAACCACCATGACTATATCATGAGCCTTGTGTCCATGGGGCATGAAGATCTGAAGGAATTTGTGGCAAAGCCTGAATGTATGCTTGGATTCTCAGATCAGGTTCGGCCATGAGACCAAGACACATGAGAAGACCATCAAAACGATTAGGAGGGACCTTCAAGATGAGCTGAACCAACAAGCCCATGAGACAGGAACCCAATGAGGACCTTGAGGCATTGGATGATCAGAAGAAGCAAGATTGGCAATTGGTGAGTAGTGAGGATCAAAAGGGTGGGGGAAGAGCTCATTTGACTATCATGACGGACGCAGCAACTGAGAAGATGAGGATTACCTTTGAGGCCCATCAGCTGGTGAGCAATTTCTTCAACCCTGATGAGGACCCCATTGGACATGTGGGCAAGGGGGCGCTCATAGTATCTGGGCAACATGCAAGATTGGACAACATTGATGACAAAGGCAGGTGGATTGAGGATGAATCATTTAACTATTTGGGAGACATCAAGCTGCATAGGAAGGGAGAGAGTGCCAGGAGGGCATTGGAGCAATGGGTCAAGATCAGAAGGGGTCATCCTCATTTGTTGGAGCACTATGATGTTTATTCCCAACCATCCTCCAATCAGGACAATATCATTATGTCATGGGTCATTGCAAAGCAAGGGAGGATGTATCCAGTATCCATCTATCAGAGGGATTGCTTTGCCGCTTCATTTAGCAATGATACATACAAGATGATGTATGCAGCCCATCAGCTACAGTCTATCATTCCTCCAAAGATGACAGCTATGATGCAATTGACAGATACAGACTTTAGCTATGTGTTTAGAAGCTTGATGAGGAAATCTGTTGATAAGATCATGGCAAAGGGGCAGCAGGCTATGGGCACAAGTGATGTGTACCAGATGGGTGAATGCAACGAAAACATAGAAAATCCAAAAAAACACTGAAAAGACACACACCTCCAGGGCGTCGTACTCTCTTCAATTTTCATGTCATTTCATTTGGTTTCCTGTTTTTTTTCGCTTTTGTGATTATTTTTGATCACTGCTTCGAATGGAATATTGCTCTTCCCTCTGCACGTTTGGATCCGTTTATTTCTATTCTTTGATTCATTTTAGTTTGTCATTGATCCCCTGCTATATATATATGTATATAACATATTAATTCCTTTTGTTTTTTGTTGATCCCTCGCCCATTGGTCTGTGCCAGTGAGTTAGACTATGTTAAACTGCCGTCCCTCTTCGATAGGCACTAATTGGATCCATCCAGAGATGTGGATTTTCGCATCAATCTGATGAGATCAGTCGGGTCATAACAACCCATGGATGTTCAAGCCGTGAAAATGTTCACATCATGGATGTTCAAATCAGTAGAGTATATCGTAGGGTCATCTCCAGACTTGACGGCTCGCACAACCTGCAAAGGTCCTTGAACAATCCCGCCCACATGCGTATGATTGCATATGCAACCACAAGGAGGGTCCCCAGCAAGTCACCGTACAGGACTATCGCACGTGGCCTATTTTTTCGGACTCGCTCGAGTTTCTGAAGCTGCCCTCAACACCAGGGTGTTCTGAGATGACAGCTTCATCAGCCATTGGGAAGGTTGAGAGAGCACACGTAAAACAGCACACAGGTGAGAGCACAAACAATGAGAGCACACATATGAAAGCACACATGTGTGAGCAAGAACATTCGAGGGCACAGGAAAGCACATAACAGAACATAAACGTGGAGGGCACGGGTGCTTTCCTCGACTGCATGTCATCATGTCTCAGTGTGGTGCCGTGTGCATTCTGGCTTTGGTGGTTACTTGTCATGGCACACGCAAGAGATCCGAGCTGTTTTACTTTGAAGTGCAGGTTTCGTGGCATGTGGTCTTGGTGGCGGTCTTTGATGCATGACAGGCGCAGGTTTGGAAGGCTTTTGTTGTAAGACGCACTGGCAGCGCTGCGGGATGTGAATCATGATATGCCAACTTATGCAGCTTCCGTGGCACCCGCGGCCCTTTGTGATCCTTGAAGTGCAGATTTCATGGCAAACGCTGCATTTTGTGCACCGCCAACTGTAGATTCGCGCCAAGCCCACCACTTCCAAGTTGAGATTTTCGTTCAGCCGCAGCGCTTTTTGATCGTCGAATGTGGATTTTGACTTTGAGGCCACCATCGATGCATGTGCAGCATTGTGGACCTTCAAGCAAATTTCAGGCGCCCTCAACTCGAAGTGCAGATATCGTCCGCCCAGCACTTTGTGCACCGCCACGCACACGTGCTCTCGCCTTTGTGCTCTCATCTGTGTGCTCTCTCATACCCGTGCTCTCACATGCACGCGGTCATGTGCCAGCCTGCGCAGTCGAAATGCACCTTGAAGAGTTCCCTTTATCAAACCCAGCCTGAACCCAACCACACTGTTTGGGGAGTTAGTCTTCATTTCAAGGGCAACACGGGTCACTTTTAAACGGTGGGGGACGAGTCAACCAACCTGGACAACCACTCATGGGCCTATCTGAAGAGGCCTGACAGGGCATCGACACGGGGCACCGTTGCAGGTGGATGAGAGGCTGACCCAAAAGCAAGCAACAAAGGCAGAGGAGGGGCGAGTGACGATTGGCTGTGAAACACAGCACATGATGGCATGCATTGCTTTGGCCAGCAACGTTCATATAGTTTCTGATTGGGGCTTATTGATTTTATCCTTTAAGGTTCAACATTGGTTGTAAGGCCTCTAGTATACTGTAGTAGACAACTTTGTGGCAATAGGGGACACCATCACATTTAGCCGGAGTGTTGTTTGGATTCCCCAACATGTTTGCCATTGTTCCTTGCATTGTCCTTCTTACTGGATGCATGACTGGGCCGCATGATTTTACATTTGTCTCCAGGCTTGCGTTCCTGCCGCACTGTGGTTGCTGTGGCCGCATGATTTTACACTTGTCTCCCATGGTCTCCAGTTTTGTTGCGGGTGCTCTGGCAGTCGCTGTGGGTGAATTGGCCGCTTGTCTCCACTTGTCTCTTTGCTTGTCTCCTTGCTTGGATACTCTCGGCCGGATGATTTTACATTTGTTCCCTTGCGTATCTCCCTTCTTGTTATGCGTGTCTCCACTTGTCTCGGCATACTCTGGATACGCTTGGCCGTATGTCTTGGCACTTGTCTCCACTTGCCTCTTTGCTTGTCTCCCTGCCTGGACACTCTTGGCCAGATGCTCGGACTACCTCTAGAAACACCTGGCCGGATGTTTTTACACTTGTCTTTGCTTGTCCCCTGGTTAGGTACTCGTTGCACTTGTCTCCGACTTGTCTCGGCCTACTCTCAATACGCTTGGCCGGGTGTTTTTACCCTTGTCTCCACTTGCCTCTTTGCTTGTCTCCCTGCTTAGATACTCTTGGCCGGATGCTTTTACACTCGCTTCCCATCTGTCTCCACTTGTCTCCCACTTGTTTCGGCCTACTCCGGATACACTTGGCCGCATGATTTTAAACTTGTCTCCGCTTGTCTCTTTGCTTGGCTCCCTGCTTAGATACTCTTGGCAGGACCATCGCCAAACTGATTACAACCTTTGTCACACAATCATGGTGGGTTGAAGGCTGTTAATATCTTTTGACCAAAACAAAACGTGACAAAGCCACATGTCAGTACAACTCAGCATATTCAGTAGATTAGCGTATGTTCTGTTTTCGTTTGAATTGCCGGTCCTGACCTTGAGCAGGGCTCAAACAAACCCAGAAGGTCCGAGTTGATCACCGCGAGCTGGAACGGTTCGAGCCGTTGACTGTTTGACAGTTCGTCCCTGTGGCTTACTTCATAAATGAACTGTTTGGGGTCTAGTCTACGCTGCTATATTTTTGATTGTTTAGTTTTATAATGTAGGTGTAACCCAAACGATCCGTTTTTGGAACAACACTGAGGTTACTGCGCAAAAGTGTTTATGTTTTCCAGATTTAAGGGGCGCTCCAAGGTGACGCAGTGTTGAAGTTGATGAAGCGGAATATCCGGAAACAAGGTATGTTCAAGGCTCTTTAGCTTTTGCCATCATGATTGAATAAAATCCCTTGCACAATGGACTGAAGTCCTGCAAAGAAGGACTCTGCATCATCACTTGCAGTTTGCCTGTGAAAACTTACGAGATAGGCCACAGTGAAGCGGAAATTTTTTTTTCAGGAACCTCCTTGCCAATTGGGCGGACTCTACAAGGCCAGGCCAGCTTCTAGGGTGGAGGCCATCGCTACTAGGGTGGAGGCCAGTGCTGGTCTCAGACTGTTTGGGGTGAAAGTGGGTTTGCCCGGGGAAGCGGTACTGTGGCTGGGGTTCGTGTGGACGTCTCCAGCGGTGTCGCAAAAACAAACAAAACAACGTCCAAGTGGTTCTTGAAAGTTCTCGGTCTATGAGATTTTATGATGAATTGTTTGTTCATCAGAAAACATCCTGGTGGCTGTTCAAGGGAAAACATGAAAGATCCTTTGACCAAACCCTTTAGCATCTTTCAGCGCTTGCTGGGTGAATACCGCCGGTCTCTTTAAACTGCAGGTGAAGTCCTCTCTCTCTCTCTTTCTCTTTCTGTTGTCGTCAACGTCGACTCATGTCCACCTCGACTGTCGCAAGGCCGCAGGCCCTTGGAGCTTTGAGGAGCGGAGGGTCTTTTTCACGAGAAGCAACGGTGGACAGTTCAAACTCTAGTGTGTTTCTGAACTTGATTGTTCCACACGTGTTTTTCAACACCCAAGCAGAAGCGACAGAAGGACGAAATTATACTAAATGTCAATGCCGGCGGCTCCTGAAACTAATCGGTGCAATCCCCAGACATTGCATGTGGGTGAAATCGACTGCTCAGCCTTCTCCCCCAGTTGGAACCTCGGAAACAGACGAATTTGCGCTGATCGCCGACCGGCGTTCCGATACGCGCCAGGTGATCGACAAGGTCACGGACAAACAGGGCTGGGCCACGTGCTTGGTACCAGGGTGTTGCCGCGGAGGGTGTCGTTCAGATGACGGTTGGTTGGTCAAAAATCCAAATGGAGTCATGGAGATGGTTGACCATCCAGGCCGGGGGGTTGTATATTAATTAATCAACAGTCAGCATGAGGATGGATGATCATAAAAGTTGTTTGTGTTTGTGATTGTGTGTATAGTTGATTGCTGTGGATGAGGATCAGTATATTTTTAATACAGTATTATAATGTCAGTATGGTGATGACGTGGAATATGCAGTCCTTGGGTTTTGGCAATTTAATCAGGATTGGTGGATGTTGTTTGCCTCTGCACGTTTCAACAACTAATACCTCGGATTTGGAGGATGTCTCACTCCGTGTTCCAAGGTCTACGGCATGGCTTGGAGCCAACCAGATTGGAGCCAACACCAGGGTTTGAACCTTCTCAGGACCCGAAGAATCTTGTGGAGTTGGTTTTGTGAGTTTTGTTGCAGCAAACATTGAAAGTTCAGCACACGGACACAGTTGTTGAGATCCACTGTGTCACTATGTAAAACTGGCGTTTAGCAACCAAAACCAACCGAGGACAATTGTTTGGAATTTGATGTGTGTTTGACTATTCACCGAGTGTGGGTTGGTGCGAGTTTGTTTGCATTTAGGAGCTTAGTATAAGGAATAAGGAAAACCAAAGCTGCTCAGCCGAGAGGCCTTGTGAAAACCATAGGAGTTGTATAGTTCAGAATATAGTTCATTCCTGCATATTGGATTGTCACAAATACTCAGCCCTCAAAGTATGGAATCACAAGACAGCAGAATAGTGCCTACATAGGATAGATAGATAGATATCTCGATTGGATGGATGGATTGGATGGATGGATGGATGGATGGATAGATAGGTAGATAGGTAGATAGGTAGATAGATACAGTAGATAGACAGTACACGTATTCTTCCGCGGGAACGGAGTCAGCTGCGCAACAAGATGGATTTGCCCACGCAAACTGACATGTTCGGTCTATGACCAAACAACATGTCACTCTCCAAGCGAGATCACTCTCAGAATCACTCCAACTTCGCCACTGTGGCATGGGGCCATCTAAATCAAGAGGTTTAAACAAGCTCCAAGATACACTGCAGTGGCCCCCTCAATTTGCATATCTCAAGTACTGGCAAACCTTCAGATGTTCATTAGTGGATCCGCTGGGCCAGAACACTCACCTTTACAAGAGGAACCTTGTTTCATATGTTTTCATATGTTTACAAGAGGAACCTTTTTTAGAAATGTCCAAACTGGTGCATTGCTATGCAATTTTAGGTCAAGTCCTTTTGTGGGACAGAAATCCAAGGATTCCAATCTCCCTCGCAGGAGACGGCGTTGGACCCGCCCCTTCCACTGAGACTCGCGGAACACCTGGAGAGTCAAAAACACCTGGAGTCGGATCCATATCAGGCAGGATTTATATAGGATCCATGGAATCTGGATCATTTATGATTATATAGATGGCTGACAGGTATCTTGACATCTACTATGTATTTGTTTATTTATGTATAATTACGTACGTATGTATATACATTACAAATGTCTAAACTGAAGCAACGCAAAAAGACATGCCTGGCTCCGTGTTTTTTTCCAGGCCTTTGATGATGCCGCAGAGTGTCACCTTCGCTCAAGCTGGGGAAGAATTTCATGGGGTAGCGATGGCCTCCAACCCACTAGCTTCTTGCTACTAGTATCCCCCCTACCATCGGACTGTTGATGGAGCAAACCATACCAGACCATACCAGACCTACTTACTGTATGATTATTGCGGATTCTGCATGGGTTGGAGCAACACTGAAGCCGTGTCACAATGATCAAAGATTGTGTCGCTGGTGACTCTTACTAATGACCCTGAGTTTGCTTCCTTGAAGAACGTTCGACAGAAATCTGGCAAAATTGTCAACCTTCAGAAGTTGATACATGGTGGACACATCCCATAGCAGATATAAGAATTACAAAAGCGCATGCGAGGAGAGACCGGTTGAATTCACATGGGGATGGGTCAAAAATTCGAGTCCGGGTCCACCATGTAGGTTGACCTTGCAGGTAAGGCCCACCAATACGGTGAAGGGCCCATGGGCTGCGTTTGGATTGGATGCGCAAGTTCCGTCGGTAGGTCAACCAAGGTCTCCTCGTTTTGACCCACAGCAACATGTTGAAACATATAAAGTTAATGGACCAAACGCACCATGGTCATCTCCATTAACATTTCCCCTATAGAATGCGTGATCTTGGATCTTGGGTACCTTACAGCTTGGTATTCTACATGTACTGTATAACATATATATAGAGTAATTTTACAATATGTTTCTTTTTTATGGGGTGGTTACCGTGGTCATTCTATAGGGGATAGGGGTCCATGGCCTTGTCTCCTTTAGAGAAAGCTGGCGACATTTTGAGGGGGGGCATATCATGTTGTAGAGGTGACTCAGCGAGCCAGGGGAAAAAACAAAACATAAATAGGAACCTGTGCGTAGCAGATTAGCCCTGCAAAGGGCATGTGTATAAAACAAAACTTGGACTAACCAAGTTTTGGAACATTTTGTTAAACTAAGACATGGTGTGCCCAACCAAAGTGTTGGTTAAAACCAATTCCAAAAGTTGGACTCATCTAGTTTTGGAACAGTTGTTAGAACCAACACTGGGGTACACCAGGTGTTGAACTAACACTTGCGTACACCGAGTCTTGGAGGGAGGGTTTGCTTTAGCATCCCTGGAACCTCATTTTGTAGTAGTGTTTTTTAAGAGGGGGTGCAGAACTATCATGTTGTAACAAAAAAACCTGACAACCAACAATTATGTATGAACTTCCAGGGGGACAGACATTTAATACACGCCTTTCTTACAAAATGTATACCCCAAAAAATCTAAAGGGGATCCATGGTCACCACTAGAATTGACTGTTCCGGATCATTCCGCATGCTTTAGTTTGCTTCTGCGTTGTTGGCCTACGCTATATTGAAGTTGTTTTTAGATGAGTGGCTGTAGGCCAAGGCAAACACCCACCATTTGGCATTGGTGCATGTCTTTTTTTCTCCCGCTCGAGCATGTACAAAGTGCAAGCCGCCGCCCCGTGCGCCGGAATAGAGCAAGGGCATCAAGGGCTGAATGGTGACGGCAACTCACTACTGGGGCGTCGGCCCGTAGAGACACGTCAAATTAACGGTCGTGAGTCAGCTGCCGCCAGCAAGCCAGTATCGCTTTTAGTGCGAGAAACATGTTGAGTTGGATACCTCTCCTGAAAGTTTGAAGATGAATGTTCTGACCCAAAGACTCTTCGCACTGTGAGCTGAGGCTGCAGGACATTGGGGGGAAATCCTTACAGTCTTCACAAACCAGGAATCTTCATATCGGATGCCGAAGCACGAGCCTTACAACCATATGACTCACATGACCCTGGAAAGGACAACGAATAGCAATTGTTGTTGTCATACCTAAGAAACACCAGGTTGAAACTCCTGGTCCGAGTCCAGCACTTGCAGAGGTCCGCGGCCAGACTTGCGTCTATCAAACCACAAAACAGGGAGATTGGATGAGATTGGTCTCCAGCGTTGAAACATGAATTGAAGCCTTTAAAAGCAGCGATTTGTCAAAGAATAAAAGTTGTATTCTTTGACAAATCGCTGCTTTGGAGGTTCCCCCGGACCACTGACACCAGGTGCTTTTCACCGGGCGTGTCGCAGCGGCACCAAGTGTGACACGCTTCCACACTGCTAGGACAAGCTCCACCAGGAGTTCTATAACGTGCCGACGAAGGAGAGTTGAACTCCTCCCTTTGCCAGCTATAACAACCCTGGAGGATCCTGGGGGGTTTAGCGGTTTTCCCTTATAGCAACAGCATTCTCCCTAGTGGCCGGTTGAATTCATGTCAGTGCATATTTTCCCAGTCACTTTTTTTTTGTGGGGGGTGGGGATGGGCTGAGGGTAATAATGCTGGGTATCTAATGCATTCTGTTGTTAGAAGACTGACGATCTGCGTGTGTCATGAAACATGAAGAAAGTGTGGTTGACGTTCCTTCCTACTGTCAATGAAGAAAGTGTGTAGGTTTCTCTTTAGGGCCCTCGAGGAAAGTGTTTACGCTTGCGTCTAAAGGAGGAAAGGTTGGACGTTCAATGACGTTCAGAAGATGTACGTTAATGAGGAAAGAGTTGACGCGGTGTTTAACTTACAAGAACTCGGGCGGCTGGCGGAGATTCCCCGTTGTTTTTGCAGTGGGAACCCATTTTCATCTGACAATCCCATTGTAAACGGGACAACAGCGCAACCTTGTAGTGTAATAAATGATGCGCGCGGGGTCGTTCCGACCGACGTGACCTAGTTTTTGTTTGTGGGTAAGCACAATACCATGCAGAATTTGAAAGACTGGTTGACCCTCTCAAGCATCCACAGCAGGACACGCGCCAGGAGTCTAGGTGTTTAGAGAAGATGTTTGTCAAACTTTCAACAAAGCATCCACTCTTCGCAAGCTATGCGAGATCGACAAGTATTGGAACCACACAAAGCGTCAAGTGAGAATTGAATCATTGAACCATATCAAGGACCCCCGGCGCGTCTTGGCCACTTCAGTCGGGCCGGGGCTTTACTTATTTATGGCTTTCCCTGTTCATCGTACCACTTGTTAAGGAGGTGCAGCAATCGCTGAAAAACAATACTTTTCCATACGTTTTTCTATTTAGAACTCCTGTGAACACCTTAGCAGAGTGCGGGCCTATCAGGTTTTTCACATCGCTGTTTTTGTTCGAGGACTTGCCACCACGCATGCAGCCAAGGCAGCTGCCAAACTTGCAGGTGTGGATGGGAGATGTGAGAGATTTCCCTAGCCCAATGGCAGGTCTCTTGGTCATTTAAAGTGTTCTTGGTGGTTAGGCAGGCGAGAAAACACATCCAAAAACAACATGTTTATACAGATTTGGGGAGGCCATGCGCAGGTGTTCATCCACAGTCAGACGCCTTTCGTTCATTGTTCTGGGTGTTTCTGGCTTGGCCGTCTTTGAATCCACACTCGAGACTCCAATACTTGGAGGATTGGATATTTGGAACAAGCGACTAGAAACACGGCAATATAGTAGTCATCAATGCCCTTAGCCAACCCAAGGATGTGCCTCAAAATCAGAACCCAAAACCAAGAATTACGGAATATCACAGATATTTGGTAGCCCAAGTATACTGACCTCCAAAGGGACCGGACTTCAGACCATCTCTCATGGCTTGGCGATGTCGGGCGAGCTACAACAGGATGCCATGAAGATCGACTGGGATGACTGGAAGTCGTCTGGTGCCTTATGGAGCTGAGCTGTCCTTTTTGTGAGCGTGTGAGGTGCGTGAATAGTTTCGATTTCATGGAACTGCAGAACTTATGGTGCCAGCATCCAATTATTTGCCACTACTGTAGGGGCCAGACCTAGCAATCTTGGATCATGAAAAGCAGTGACAAGCAGTGTGGATGCCCCAGCTGTGGTCCTCCTTCAAACATCACCCATTGCCGGTGGATGGAAATGGATGGAAAAGGCATGGCCAAGATGATGGCTAAGGGCATCGTAAGGCCTTAGATGATCTTAGATGCTTATATTCTCATCCTGTGCTAAACGACTTGGCCTTGGGCCTCTAGTGCGGTCATCGTTAAGGTGCTTGGTTCTTCCTTGATGCTCTTGTTTCTACTAGCTTCTTGTTCCTAGTAGTAAGGCACTTGTTACTAGAAGCGATGCACTTGTTCCTAGTAGCTTCCTTAATTTACTTCATCCATGATGCTCTTCTTATTTGGCTGGCGTGTTGGGCCATCGGTGTTCACTCCTTTGAGGGGCAACGTTGCGGAACCCCTTCGGTCCCTGACACGAACCACGGCGGATCGTTGGCGTCCCCTCCCGAGGTGGGAATGGATGCAGCCAGGCTGGAAGGGCGTGGGCGACCTCAGCATGCGACCAAGAACGAGCGACCGACCCGGCTGCACGGTAAGAAACGCTTGGATGTGTCCTCCTGCATCACAAAATCAAAACAACTGACCCGGGGATACCCTATATTTGTGGCAGAAGACCAGGCGTGCTAGTTGTCGGTCAATTATACATATATTATATATTATATAGAGATTCCAGATGATTCCAGCTTGGATGTTATATCTAATTAGGATCAATATATCCTGCACAATGATTGACCACCCTGTAATTGAATCTCACCACAACCCAAGGTCAAAATGCACTCCCAGTGCGTCATCAACGCGGACGGCTCGGCGGAGATTCGCAGCGTTGGAAGCCCCAAAGCTTCTACCCTGCCATGGGATTAATGAACATCAGAAGATCTTCATGATGAAATTATTGTTGATTCATGATTCATCAACCCTCCGATGTTTGAAGATGTGAAAAGCTCAAAGAAGAGCGTGACTGCATGCGACTCCCATGTGGCCCATTTGGCTCCAAG